GGTCGTGTTTGCAATAGTTGAGTTAGAGGAAAGCATTGAAATCAATTTTGATTCGGTTGATGATTATGTCAGTGACATCTCTGGGCAACTCAACATATTTGGGTTTCGACAGTCTGGAAGAAGAGGGTGACCAACGGGGGAGAAGTGAAGAGAAGAAAGGTTGTGTGATGTGTGTTGAGGTCTTGGTTCGTGAAATTTCATGATTCTTAAATCATCCTTTACTGGGAATATATTTTCGAACCTAATTCAACAAGTTTATGATAGATTGGTGTTGCTTTTGTGTGTAGTTTCGGTATTTATCAGAACTTGAATTCTACGGAGGATCTGGAAAACTTAACACCACATCGATCTCATCCATGGTGGTGATGTTCATGGCCGATTCCATAGAGTCCCATCAGGTACGTTGCCCATCTTCTCAAATTTGTGTGGATCCAAATCATATTTCAACCGAAACATGATTTTAATGTTTAACTCCTCATCTACAGGTGCAATAAGGCTGAAAATCGTCTCGCAGGGCAGATCGGCTATTTGAATCGTTCTTCTCAACTCTAAGGGCTAGTTCATGTTGGAACGAACATCGCATGAAAAGTGCGATTTAAAATGGCGTCGTGTTTATCGTAAAAAAATTGAAAAAAATTAACTTTTTTGCGATTTCCGCAAAATTTTATACGTCAACATACAATGAGGTTATATTGCTATTTTATTTGACTCTCGTTTTTTAAGCCCATACATCATTGAATACGAATGTGTCAGGTTGTTCAAATTATATCAACTTTACCTTATATATAAAGCTTCATTGAGAAAACCCCGTCGTTATGGCGTGAGAAATATTTTCAAAAACAGAAGAAAATATTGAGAATATCACAACCTTGTAGCTGAAATGAGAATTAGTGATCCAGAGAAATATTTCAACTATTTCAGGCAGACTCTCCCATTATTCAATAAATTATTGAATTTGGTTGGCCCTTCATTAAAGAAAACTTATTTTGCAAAAGAACCCCTTTCTCCTGCACTTAAATTGGCAGTAACGTTAAGGTAAGTGGTTTGAAGACACGCTCTTATTAAACAAAACTTCAGAAAATTGTTAATCCTATCTTCTGATATGATGGTGTCTGGTCTTAAAAGTCGTAATTCGTATGAGTCGTATGTCATCATTCAGGTTCATGTAATAAAATTTAAAATTCAACAATAAAATCCCTAGATATATCAATATGGCACCTTTTATGGCACCTAGAATAACGTAATCGAAAAACATGGAGAGTCAATTGCTGTTGCGCTTGATATTTCTTAAGCCTTTGACCGTGTGTGGCATGAGGGTTTGCTGGCCAAACTTCGATGCTATGGCTTGTCGAATCATTTTTTGGTATGGCTCCTCAACTTCCTGAAAGAACGTTCCCTGCAAGTGGCCGTCGATGACTATCTCTCGAATACTTTCATCATCAATGCTGGTGTTCCCCAGGAATCCCTATTGTCTTTAACCCTCTTTTTATTGTATATCAACGACTCATTGGAAAAAAACCAAGAATGCAATACATTGCTTTGCTGATGAGAACACACTTGTCTCGTCATTATATTTGGATTCCAGGACATCGGCTGCAGATGCACATCTTCACCGGCAGCCGGAGGTTGAATATCTTGATAAGTATCTGAACGTTGTAGCGTTCAATTTTAGCTTTAGATATCTAAACATGTTATAAAGAATTGTCGATATACGTATGGTATAACAAATTGCTATGACTCTTTATTTCACGTACAGTAATTACACTTCACGATGTAATAACTTATGAATCATTATATTCAATCAAGAGAGGTAAAGCTTCAGTCGTAATCTTGTGAAAGTCCAACATATTCACAGCTTCACACCCAAAACTCTAAACGACCTTTCTGATAGATCTTCTGAATGAACTTCGATTAGCTGATGCTATAACTTATCACCGCTACTTCAGATCAATTCATCTTTTACCAGGGTAGATTTCCAATATTTAACGATCCCGAGCGTAAGGTACATTAAAGACTTTCCACGTCTCCACCTGGAAAAAGAATATGCAATACTATTATTGGGAACACACAATCGGTATGCTCAAATTTCACGACAATTGGATCTTGATCAAAAATCGATTTATATTATTATCTTATTATCGCTTACCTTGATGTATTTTTCCTTTGATCTGGAATTTCCGTTGTCCCATTTGAATTCTAGGTTTGATTTGTTGTTTACATTTTGGTGTTCGCCTGTTGACAGAAACAAGACCTTGGACGATGCGCAATCGTTTCGGCTGTCGAAAATATGTGACATTGCCAGGCACCCGAGAGAAATTTTAGCAGAACACGACGTTTCTTGATGATTTCTGGTAGGTCGTGGAGTATTAGGTCGTGTTTGCAATAGTTGAGTTAGAGGAAAGCATTGAAATCAATTTTGATTCGGTTGATGATTATGTCAGTGACATCTCTGGGCAACTCAACAAATTTGGGTTTTGACAGTCTGGAAGAAGAGGGTGACCAGCGGGGGAGAAGTGGAGAGAAGAAAGGTTGTGTGATGTGTGTTGAGGTCTTGGTTCGTGAAATTTTATGATTCTTGAATCATTCTTTACTGGGAATATATTTTCGAACCTGATTCAACAAGTTTATGATAGATTGGTGTTGCTTTTGTGTGTAGTTTCGGTATTTATCAGAACTTGAATTCTACAGAGGATCTGGAAAACTTAACACCACATCGATCTCATCCATGGTGGTGATGTTCATGGCCGATTCCATAGAGTCCCATCAGGTACGTTGCCCATCTTCTCAAATTTGTGTGGATCCAAATCATATTTCAACCGAAACATGATTTCAATGTTTAACTCCTCATCTATAGGTGCAATAAGGTTGAAAATCGTTTCGCAGGGCAGATCGGCTATTTGAATCGTTCTTCTCAACTCTAGTACTGTCGTATTCTGGCTGAAAGAGAAAACCCCTTTCAGCCAGAGTATGTTCACTTTTCTACTTTTTTACTGATATTGTTAGGACACAAGTAATTGTAGTTTACTTTTAAATGAATGAAAAGCTTGTTTTCCTTTTATTCCTTTTATGAGAAGGGAAAACTCCTAATTAGATCTTTCTTTCATAGGGTTTTTTTTCTCCATCCCCATTTTCCTTGGTTCTAAAAGTTACTGGAGGTGTACAGTACTTACAGGGTGGACTTTGAGTCCTAGACTGGTTGGTTTCTGACCTAGGCTACGGGTGGTGAAACCTTTACCTTCTACATGGTGGTGCAACCTTCATTTTCTACAGGGTGATCCCAGTGGACTGAAGTTACCCCCCAGGTATCAGGATGAGTTCGGGGTGATTTACTCCTTTTCAGACGACAACTCTACTAGGACAGGAATCCAAACCTATCGACGCTAGGACACGCAAGTTCTTGATCTTGATCATATATCTATTTGTCTATAATTTGTTTATTAGTAATAGTTATATAGCTGATTGCTTACGTGAATAATAAGCTTACGGCAAGTAGCCAGCGCATACTACGGCAAAAAATAATAATAATAAATGCTTTTATGGAGAGGCTACTTAGTACAAGATATACTAACCTAACCTAGCCAAAGGCAGAATTCAAGATCTGCTCATAATTAATCAAGGCAAATATTGCTATTTTATATGAGCTAATTACAGTTCAATTAGGGAACGGCGATGACATCTCTTGCTTCAAGAAGATACCATCTATGAGGTTGAAAGAAAACTCAATCAACGAAATCAACAATAAACGAGACTCTGGTTCCAACTGAGGCTGTGAAAAAACAAAATTTGCTAAAAGTCAAAAAAACATTCTTCAAGAATTCTATCAACAGAGAAAGAGTCGCAGTTTCCTACTTGCAAACATTTTTCGATTAGGATTTGACAAGAGATTCAGAATAGTTGTTGATGTTTCCGAATGAGCTGATGTTGAAACTGGTATATAATTATTCATTTCAGAGAAAATTAGAATTTTACAACATGTATGTCTGCATTAAACCCATTTTTGAAGGGCGGTCTAAGATACGAATGCTATAAATATATTAATCTTCATTTGGGCCACATACCATCAGTTTGCTGTATATAACATTTTTCATAAAAGACTTATTACATTTTCATGATGGAAAAACTCCATCCATTCGAACCGAACAAAGATCGTAAATTCATTTGAATGAACAATGGAAGTATCTGCGTATGAATGAAAGTAATCCATTTTTCATCATACCGCAGTCCTGCGTCTCAACTTGTCACGCCAGCTTTGTTTTAGATTGATGAAACTGCAGTGGATGTTCAGAGTTCCTGTGAAGATTCAGTTTTCACGATACGAAAATGCAGATGAATATCCTCACCTCAAGAAGAAGTAATGAAGTATTGAACGGGAGTTCCTGAATGATTGAAGTTACAATATACTCGTATCTGGTTGTTATCTATGATTAAATTCTAGTAATAGTCATGCACAGGGCAATTCTCGATAGATAGATAGTTTATCACCTGATTAGCCATGCATGGACAGGTTCTTCATTTTTCACAAAACAAACAAATGATTCAACATATATACAAAAAAGGAAAATAGTTTAGTGTACAATATAGATTCATTACACTAAGTTTTTTTTAAATGAAAATGAAATGAAATGCTTTATTCCAATGATAGAAAAAAAGATTTACTCATATTTGTTAATGTTAATAGTATTACCTTTAAAAATTAATGTTTTAGTGTTGAACGTTTTTGTTTGATTATTTACAAACAAATTATTCCTTATTCTAGTGTTATACTGATGGATTTGTTTATTAAAAATTACAAATTTGTCAAAATATCAAGGTAGAAGGTAATGCAACATTTTATAAATATAAATCGTCGTTAAATATGTAGCCTACTTTCTATAGATAACCATTCTAGAGTATTTAACAGTAAAGATATATGTTTACTCCTATCACATCTGAAAATAATGCT